TGGCGTGCTGCTATGAGGGCAGAAATTACTGCTCTTGAATTGAATCGGACTTGGACTCTCACTGACCTACCTCCCAACAAGAAAGCCATAGGCTGTAAATGGGTTTATAGAACAAAACATAAAGTTGATGGCACTGTTGACAAGTTCAAGGATAGCCTTGTTGCTAAAGGGTATACACAATTGAAAGGTATGATTATTTTGACACCTTCTCACCAATTGTCAAACTCACCACTATTCGATTAGTTCTCTCCTTGGCTGCTGCAAAGAATTAAACTCTAAGGCAATTGGACGTCAACAACGCTTTCTTACATGAAGAATTAAATGAGGAAGTCTACATACAATCCCCACAGGGATTCCATGATTTTGACTACAACAAAGTATGTCTTTTACATAAATCTCTCTATGGCTTGAAATAAGCCAGCCTCTAATGGTATGACAAACTGTCTTCTTTCCTTCTCTCTCACATCTTTACTCAAACTTCTGGTGATCATTCCCTTTTTATCAAATGTCATGGTGATACAATCACTATCTTACTAATTTATGTTGATGATATCATCCTTACTGGTAATAATATTCATGAAATTGATCACATCACCAATATACTTAATGCACAATTAAAAATATAAAATATGAGTAACTTGTCTTAATTTTTGGGTTTCGAGGTTGCTCGTAACTATGCAGGTATCCACCTCTCCCAACGCAAATATGCCTTGGATCTCGTTTCACAAAACCAGAATGCTTGCTTATGCTCCTGTTAGTACTCCCATGAAATTTTCCGCTAAAGTTTCCTCTGAAGGTGACCAGCTTGCTGACCCCACCGTTTTTCGCCATCTAATCGGGCGTCTCATATATCTTACTAACACTCGCATAGATGTAACATACGTTGTTCATAGCCTCAACCAGTACGATGCCTCCCCAACTCAGGCTCATCATCAAGTTGCTTTTCGCATCCTCCGCTACATCAAAAACACCCCTAGTTAGGGCATTTTTCTCAAAGCCACAAGCAATATCACCTTGAAGGCTTACAACGATTCTGATTTGGTTGGGTGCTCTGATTCCAGAAAATTTACCACCAGCTACATTGTTTATCTTGGAGATTCACCAATTTCATGGAAGTCAAAGAAGCAACCTATTGTTTCTCGTAGCTCCTATGAAGCCGAATATCGCGCCCTTGCTCAAACTGTCTATGAAATCCAATGGCTTACTCAACTCCTCAGCGAACTTCGTCTTCCTCTGTCCCACCTTGCCACCATCTTCTGCGACAATCACTCTACCATTAAAATAGTTACCAATAAAGTCTTCCACGAATGCACTAAACATATCAAGATCGACTGCTATCTTATTCAAGGAACTGTTAAACTTCTCTCTGTGCATTCAGTTCTCCAACTTGCCGATATTCTCACAAAGTCGCTTCCTCCTTCCACCTTTTACCAAATAAATTCCAAGATTAACACAATTGATATATATGCCAAGCTTGAGGGGAGTTGTCAGAAATACAGTTTCAACTAATCACCGTAATGCACCACTTTCCATTTATTGTTTTTTATTCTTTCCTCTCTTTTATCTCATATATATGTATCTTTCCCTTTTCCCCCTTTTCACTTAACTGTACAGTAACAATACACTTTTCATATATCAGTTTTTCTTCTTCTTATATTCTATCTTTCTATTCTGGATGCATCATGAATTCTTCCATGAAGTATGCACATATACCATCACTATAAAGCTATCCTATGTGAAAACATGCCTTGGATTCAAAAATTAACTCACTAATTCCACTACATCCGTAAAGAATGTGGGATCTCCAAAATATTTTAGACACCGTTTTCTTATATATTTTTTGTTTAAACTTTCCGAACTATCTTCGGTTATATTTGAATGGTAAAAGTTTACATATATGGTTTTTACTGTTGATGAAAAGAAATATAATTGTTGACTAATCATAATTAAATTTTATAGTCAATAAATAGTTTTGAACAATACAAACTTGCTTTCAATTATTGAATATGCCGTTCCCGAAAGCTGTAGATAGCATCGCCCCAGACAACAAATGTAGTGTAGAGTTAATAATATTTTTTCTTAAAAGAACTTTTAAGTTCTAGATATTATGTTGAATACAGTGAAAACATACATGTAATTAATTTTCTTGAGTTAAATATAGAGTCTTTTGTAAAAAAAATATGAACTAAATTTAAAATACAAATAAAAAATAATAATAAATTAAATAAAAGATAAATATAAAATAAAAATAATAAATATAACAAAATATATATATATTGGGCTTAATTCTAATATATTTTTAACTGAAATTTTATCAATATTTTTGTCTATTTATTATTCAAAAGCATTTATAACGAACAATTCAACACTTGTAATCTAATTATATTTGTTAATTAAATTATATGACTATTATTTTATTTTAGTTGTATTGCTTCTGTGTCTTTACCTATTAAAAAGTATGAAATTTTGTTGAAGTAATAAAAATCATTCATATATTGTTTTATTAATCATAAAATATCATATTTTTCAATTTTAAAAGATAAAAATATGACCTAAAACTCAATTAAACCTTATTTCAATCACCAAAAATGGTATCCAATGTTGTAAAAGTTGATAGCTGTGTAATACGAACAATCCAGACTTGATAAGTTTTGTAGTGTGTAGGAATCCATGGAATGCAAAAAGAATGTAAGAATAAATAGAAGAAAAACAAAGTTATATCATAAGAATATATACTTTAGAAGCAGCAAGAGTTGGCTTATGGCCAAAGTTTCTTATTCATTCAAAATTCCAAAACCAAGTGATGAAGCAATTTCCTCTTTTGTGAACTTTATGAAAAGAAAACTCTATAAGACTGAACCACAGCAGAATGACACCATGTCAGAACAACCAAAAAATTCTGTTAATTTACAGTAACTTTCACTCACTCTTCTTCCATTATCTCCCACCAATATGAAGTCATATGGTACCACAATTTTTGCACAATTATTCGGTCTTCTCGCTCTCATCCTCTTACTTGTTTGGTTGCTGCATTATCGTGAGGGCATTCAATATGATTCCGACGATCCATATCGCGTTTTCAATGTAACATTCTGTTTTTATTGCTCTTTCTTTAACCACAAAATTCACGTTCTACTATCAGTTGTTTTTTTTTTTTTCATTTTGCAGGTTCACCCCTTTATGATGTTCTTCGGCTTCATTTTCCTTATTGGTCAAGGTATCTTTCTCTTGCATCATGTCCTAATTTAACATATTTCATTTACTTTTACCGATTAATTCTTTATGTTAACTGAAAATCGTTCAAGTACGAGAAGTTAGAACAAATTATAAGAAAAAAGATCTTGAATCTATTATTTATTTTGAGTTGGAAGTGATGTTAATTTTCTACTCAAAAACCTTTATCATGTAAGGTATGATTATTGGGCAATGATTATTTGAGTTGGTGTGAAATTTGAGCAGCAATACTAGCATATCAAACGGTGCCAGGAACGCATGAAACGCAGAAGATTGTTCACTTGACGCTGCATCTAATTGCTATAATTCTTGGGATTGTTGGTTTGTGCGCGGTTTTCAAGTTCCATGATATGGTGAACTTGACAGACGTATACAGCCTCCATTCATGGATTGGCATTGGCACCTTTTGCTTGTTTGGCTTGCAGGTATATACACAGTCTCTATCATATCACATTATGCTAAAATTTTTAAGAAAATTGTTAGAAAAATTTTGATAATTGGAATATGTGATGACTTTGTGGATGAAGTGGCTTTTGGGGTTGGTGTTCATGTTTCAAGCATCTCCACAATCAAGGAATTCAATGGCTCCATGGCACGTAGCAGGTGGCAGGGCACTGTTTTTCATGGCAATTTGTGCTGCTCTAACAGGGTTGATGGAGAAGTACACTTCTTCGAAATTACTGCCACACCAGAGAGAATCTCATTTGATCAACTTCACAGGTCTAGCAATTCTCTTGTTTGGAGTTTTTGTCGACATGGCTGTTGGTTTGGCCCGTTTTTCCTGAATTGCTTTCTTTCATTCTCCGTTTCGTTTTTGGATTTTGGAATTCCTTCTTCGGTCACTGCAAATGGCTTGTGTAATTTCTATTGATGTGGATTCTTGTGGAATATAATTTTACCGATTCAGGTTGTTTGGTTTCATGCTAAAGTAATTTGGTTATTTGTTCGAGCGGTGTTATGAATTGGATGGAAGCAGATAACTTATTTCTTCACAAACAATATGGCGTCAGTCACTTATGCGTTCTTGTAGAATATGTGTCCTGTTATTTTCTTGTTACTCATTCTTTATATAATACAATAAAATAAGGATAAATATTTATTAGATAATATTTGAAGTAAAATTTAATCAATAATAAAATGTACTCAATTAATATTGTTACTTCAAATAACATATCAGATAGACTAACATGAAAAAAAAAATACATTAATTATTTATAGTTGAGGTCTCGATGGTTTAACCTCAAGTAAATTGTTTAAGGATTCAAAAATTGTTTTAATGTCAAGTCTATTCAACGTTGGCAATTCAAATATTAATGATGCATTTAACTAACAACGACTTAATTACAACATAATTGCGGGTAATTGCATTTTATCTCTAAGATGGTTAGCTTTAGGGTTAATTGTCTTGACCACTAGCTAATCGGTTTATCTTTATACCCACTCGACCTTACTGATGGCTCGAGCACACGTTGTTGCAAGACTGATTGTCCAGTTCAAACTATCCAGGCGGTCATATGGTACGATTATTGTTTGTTTAAGCGGTTTTATGAATTAGAACCAATAAGAATTTCTTCTGCACCTAACCAATTGAGAATGGACCGATGATGTTCATTCCCCACTATGAGGGAGGCCAGAAAGATGTTGTGCAACTCTATTGGCGACACTTTGACGTTGTTACTGTTGGTTAGAACAACCGGTATCTTCGAGTCGCACAATAGAATAAAAAATAATTAAGGAAAGCGTGTTTAGTCAAATTAAAAAAATGGTTCCTTTAATTTTCTTATAAGCGTTTTATCGAACAACTGATGAGTAGAAAATATAAAGAGTGTAGGGAGTAGAAAAATCACACAAATGATTTTTATCATAGTTCGAATCAAAAGATTCTACGTCCAGTCGTTAATCACTATGAATAGTGATTAACTTTTTCTCACTAAAACAGTTTCACAGTTACAATGAAAGTGAATAGAAAATAACAATAACAAAAACACCTTCCTTCGACAAACGAACCGGAAGAATACAGCAAAAACCTTCCTTTGACAAACGAACCGGAAGAGCTTCCTTCGACAAACGAACCGGAAGCAATAGCTCTGCCAACTTGAAGAGAACCGCTCCGACCTTTGACACACAAAACGAGAGCTTCTCCTATTCACAAGACTTGACAAGAGCAAGAACTAACACTTGAGAAATTCCTCAGATTTCACTGTATTCTCAAATTCACAAAGTTATTTCTGAAAGGTTTTGGCAAAGAGATTTATAACCTACTGGTCTGAAAATGTAAACACGCATTACAACTGCTAGTGATAATTGATTATTGTAAGTGATAATCGATTATATGCGAGACTTGGAATAGTTAGGATTTTTAACTCTTCAACCGATCGACTTGAGTTCTTCATCTTATGCCGCTCGATTTGATTCGTCACAGCCTCTTGCTGTTCGGTTTAAACCCTTATCACCTTCTATCGTTTGGCTTAATTCTGCTCTGCCTTTGGTCGTTCGATGCTACTTGCTCCGTCTCGGTCATGCTCTCCACCGCTCGGCTCAATTCTTGTAAACTTCCCAGCTCTTAACATTTTCTTCTACAGTGTAGTTGGACACAATATCGTTCGACTTGTGTATGACACCGTTCGTTCTTCAACTGCTATGCTCCATTCAGCCTTCAGCTTATTATATGTCATTTGGTCCTAAGTTCTCGATCATGACTGCTCGTGTCCTGACTGCTTGGTCTTGGTCATGACTTCTGCCATTCGGTGCTTATTGCTCGGTCATTACTGTTTGTGTCCTGAAATGCTTTTAAACTTAATACTACAAGGGTCTTCGGGTCTTCATATTCTTCACTTTGTAGCATCATCAAAATCATTATCTTTTAAGACATCAATGCTCCTCATTGGCAACAGTTACCACGCTTTTGACAACTCTTGCATTTCTAGATGAAGACTTTACAAGGTTAGCCAATAATAGTATGCTCTCATGGTCCTCGCCTTAAGTGTCTGTTGCCCAGTATGGAGACCAGACACACCATTATGTAGCTCGTTAAGCATGTATTAGGATTCTTCTTATGAGAGGCATTTCAATAGGGGGTGGAGAACCCTCTTCAGTACAAATCTTCCCCCGCAAAGATGAACCAAGTTATTCTATTGAGCTAATTGCCTCGCCCCAGTCTTGCTTCCTCATCAAGACCTTCACGTCCTCCGTCCAATCCTTTTGTCCAACCACGGATATGGACATGCAGTTCATTATTGGTTTCGTTAGCACTTGCCTTATTATTGTGGACAGTTGTCCATTTTCCTCTTCGCTTGCCATCTTGGACAGTGTGTTTGCCCGTGCATTCTCCACTCAGGGATTGTGCTTGATGTCCACAACTTCGAAGCCCTTGATCAACTCGTGCTTGATTGTTTCCTCATGGGAGGGAAACTTCATATCTAGGTGAGCTCTTGAGACTATGGTACCAAATGCGTTCAGGCATGAACGCCCAATAATACGTTGTAGGAGGTGTTAGTCTCCACTAGGAGATACCTCACCTACATTTCCTTGCTATATCAACCGATTCCTAACCTCTTTCTGAAGTCAATGTAATCGCATTTGTCCACTCTTTCTCCCGTAAAGCCGACTATTTGCTTATTTTATGACACAATGAGGTATTCTGATAAGTCCATCCTGAAGAACGTCTTCCAATACAGGATGTTGATTGAGCTCCCTTGGTCAATCAACACTTTACTAACCTCATAACAAACTATCTCAACTGTTATTACCACAAGGTTGTCTTGATCAATATCAGGAGCCTTAAAGTCTTAGTCCATGAAGGTGATGGGAGGTTTTCTATCCATTAGGTGGACGGTCTTTAGGACCCTGATATGGCACATCCAAAAGGACCCTGATATGGCACATCCAAAAGGACCCTGATATGGCACATCCAAGCTGACATTGAGGATTTGCCTCTCACGAATCCTTTTGAGATTCTATTGATACGATCACACAATGGGTTGTCTCTACTCATGCTTCAGCTTTTACTCTTGCATCTGGAGTCATGTCATCGTTCGGTCCTTAAGGAGTGGTAAGAACGCTTTCTCCTCCTCTCGAGGCTTCTCTTGTAGGGAGATTTTTGTCCTCCCCCTCGATTTTGACATACTTATTGAGATGACCCACACATATCAACTTCTCAATCTTATTATAGAGGGTGACACAATTCTCTATGGTATCTATATTCTTGTGGTAGAGGCAGTGTTTGTTGCCATTGGCCCCTAGGGGTGTAGCCCTCCTCTTTTGAGGGGGAACCAGGTTAGCACTCATAGCCTCTTCAAGTATCTTGGCTCTGATCGCATTCAAAGGAGTATATTGGTGGAAACGTTGTGCTCTAGGCATGTCTTTGGGCCGAGACTCACCTCCCTTGCTGCTACCACTATTTGATTTTTTTCCTTCCTTCTTCCTGCTTATACAAGCTTCCTATTGCTTTTGAAGGTTACATAAATCTCGCATGTCTTCCACTCGCATATACTTTGTAGCCCTCTCTGCCATCTCTTCCATGGTTTTTGTTGACCTCATGCACAAGCTATAGGTGAACGACCCAAACTTTAAGGTCGTTATCACGTGGGTAAAGGCAAACTCGTGGCTGAGATTCCTAATCTGTCAAACGATCTTCCCAAATCAATCCATGTAGGAGCGGAGCAACTTTTCTTTCTCTTGCTTGAGGTTTACTAGGGTAAAAGTTATCAGGTGATGGGATTGGCTCGGGATAAACTACATGTCGAACAACAAGCAGATGACCACGAAGTTGTCAATGGAATCAGGTGGAAATGAATTGAATGACGCCAAAGCTTCCCTTTTGATGGGGAGGGAAAATGCTCTACATCATATGTGGTCGCTTGCAGTGCAAAAAACCATCTGGTTGACGAACATCATTAAATGTTCAACCGTATAAGTTGATCCATCATAATTCTCGAAGGTTAGGGGAGCTAAACACATGGAAGTCTCCATGATGGCCGATGTAAAAGGCAGCAGACCGACCGTGTTCACTGTTTGTACGGATGGATTCTCTTTACTAGCTCTCGTGTTTCTCTTATGTGTTGTCTTGCATATGTCTTCTCTATGTCTGGTTGGAGTAGGCTAATGTTGTTGTTGTTGGATCGATGCGCGAGGCACCAACTTTTGAGCACTTTGCTCTTGGCGAATGGCTACATTCTTGGCCTTGAGGATCATCAGTTCCTCTTCGTATCTTTGTTGCATTTTTTCCTTCTGCCTTTTCATGTTTTTGATCATCTCCTATTGACTAGGGTGATTCTCTAACTCTTCTGTCATGACGTTGCTCTTCATATTCCTTGTAATCACCATAAGGGTTTGTTGGTTGATGAGCACTCGGCCCCATGGTGGAGTGTTTGGTCGAGGTCAACGGTTCAACGTCAAGTAAGTCATCCAAGAGTCAAAAAGTTGTCTTCAACTCTGAGTCCTCTCGTAATCGTTTGTCCAAGTCGTTCGGAGGGTACTTATAGAAGAAACTAATAAGTTCCTAGTATTAGTTGATTTCAATGTTGAATTGACACTTATTTTGCTTTAATTTTGTGTAAATTTACTAAAAACTACCCCAATTTTACTTGTTTTGCAGGTATAAAAGAATTTAGATAGTCAAAGTTGCATTTTTGAAAAAAAATAGAGAAATTCAAACACTTTTCAAGCATTCTGTCACAGTAAGGTTACAACGCCTAATGAAGGCTTAAGCTGCGAGTGGAAAACCTAGAATGGAAAGAAACCTTAAGTCTTGACCTAAGGCTCAAGGCACAAAGAATCCTTAATCATGAAGTAATCTCAAAAAGCTCCAGCCCAAGAACTCATAGCTAAAGCCATGGAGAAAACCCACCTAGGGAGGAAACCTCGTGATTGGAGTCATGAACCATCGCTTGAGCCATGCTGTTAGAGTTTATAAATACAAG